CTCTTGCAGACAGGCCCCAGTGCCTAATATAGTTCAGGAAGTGAGGAGAACCAGAAACCATCACTGAGTCTGCTGATTATATTTCAGAGCCCCGCCCAATGAGAACTTACAGTCTCAAAAAGGTTACTCCAATTAGTGGATTTTTACATCAAATTATTACAAATGTGTAAGCATTCACTGATACTTTATCAATTTATGTTCTTCTTTTTAAAAATATGAATTATATGATTGTAAAAGTGTTCTGAAAAAATCCAGTAAGTATGGGCATGGTGTCTGAGACACAGAAGACATCAGACAGAACATGAGAAGACACACAACAGAACACAGTTCTGAACTGAAGACATGAGCTACACCACAGCCCCCAAATCTACACTGAAATTTTTATTGCAGTCCTAAGGAACCCAGTTCAAATTCATATGTATTCTATCTACCTGACTATTCTGTGGAGAATGCCATATACAAACCTTTGAAGGAATAACACATTTGCATATGTAACATGCACACATATGTATGCATATACATGTGAGCATATATACAGTATGTAACATATACCATACCAAAATGTGAGAAAATGAATATCTTGTTTTAAGCCATCCAGCTTATGGCATCCCTAGAAAGCTAATATACATTTTTGGAGATAACTGAGTAAACTCTATAAGTAGTAAAGTAGATGTCTTAGTTAGGGTTTCTGTTGCTGTGAAGAGATACCATTGACCACAGAAATGCTTAGAGGAAAACAGTTAATTAGGGTGGCTTACAGTTGCAGGAAGCAAGGCAGCAGGCAGGCACTAGAGAAGGAGCTGAGAGTTCTTACATCTTGACTCCCAGGCAACAGGAAGTGATCTGTCTCACTGGGAATAGCTTGAGCACAGGAGACCTCAAAGCCCACCCCCACCGTGAGATACTTCCTCCAACAAGGTCACACCTCCTAATAGTGCCAGTTCCTTTGGAGGGCATTTTCTTTCAAACCACCACAGTGGATAATATCTGGGTAGTTATGGCATAGCACGGAAACCTGTGGCTTGACTGGCTTCCACAGCAGCATCCTCACCTTTTTTAATTTAAATTAAAAACCATCTTATTTTTCACACCAATCCCAGTTCTCTCTCCCTCCCATCCTCCCACTGCCCCTACCATCTCCCCATACCACTGCCCATTCACTCCTCAGAGAGGGTGAGGCATCCCTCAAAGTCTGTCACATCCTTCGGAGCAGCACTGAGGTCTTCCCCCTTGCATCTAGACCTAGAAAGTATCCCTCCATAGGGAATGGGTACTGGGGATAGATTCTGGTCCCACTGCCAGCAGTCCCGTAGACTGCCCAAGCTCTCCAACTGACACCCATGTTCAGAGGGCCTAGTTTGATCTTATGTAGGTTCCCGTAGCTGTCAGTCTGGAGTCTGTGAGTTCCCACTTGCTCAGGTCAGCTGTTACTGTGGGTTTCCTCAGCATGGTCTTGACCCCTTTGCTCATCACTCCTCCCTCTCTACAACTGGATTCCAGGAGTTCAGCTCAGTGTTTAGCTGTGAATCTCTGTTTCTGCTTCCATCAGCTATTGGATGAAAGCTCTATGATGTCATCTAAGGTAGTCATCAATCTAATTATAGTGGAAGGGCATTTAAGATAGCCTTTCCACTTGCTTAGATTCTTAGTTGGGGTCATCCTTGCAGATCCCTAGAAATTTCCCTAGTGCCAGGTTTCTCGTTAAGCCCATAATGACTCCCTCTATCAAGGTATCTCTTTCCTCGCTCTCATTCTCTGTCCTTCCCCCAACTCGACCTTCCTGATCCCTCACATTCTCCTCCTCCCTTCCCTTCTCCCCTCCTTTCTCTCCTATCTCCCTTCCCCCTACCCACATGCTCCGAATTTGCTCAGGAGATCCTGTCCCTTTCCCCTTCTCAGGGGTCAATGAATGTCTCTCTTAGGGTCCTCCTTGATTCCTAGCTTCTCTGGTGATGTGGATTGTAGGCTGGTTATCCTTTGCTCTATGTCTAATATATACTTATGAATGGGTATATACTATGTTTTTCTTTCTGTGTCTGGGTTTCCTCACTCAGGATGGTTTCTTTTAGTTCCATCAATTTGCCTGCAAATTTCAAGATTTCATTGTGTCCCATCCCGTGCCCACCCCCGCCCAGCTGAGTTGTACTCCATGGTGTAAATGTGCCACGTTTTCTTGAGGGACATCTAGGTTGCTTCCAGGTTCTGGCTATTACAAATAATGCTACTATGAACATATTTGAACAAATGTCCTTGTGGTATGAATGTATATCCTTTGGGCATATGACTAAGAGGGGAATTGCTAGATCTTGAGGTGGACTGATTCCCATTTTCCTGAGAAACCACCATACTGGTTCCCAGAGTGACTGTACAAGTTTGCACTCCCACCAGCAATGGAGGAGTGCTCCCCTTTCTCCACGTCCTCTCCAGCATAAGCTGTCATTGATGTTTTTGATTTTAGCCATTCTGGCCAGTGTGTAAGATGGTATCTCAGAGTTGTTTTGAGTTGCAGTTCCCTGATGGCTAAGGATGTTGAGCAATTCCTTGAGTGCCTTTTAGCCATTTGAGAGTCCTCTGTTGAGAATTCCCTATTTACATCTGTACCCCATTTTTAAACTGGATTATTTGGTGTTTTGGTGACTAGCATCTTGAGTTCCTTGTATATTTTGGAGATCAGCCCTCTGTCAGATGTGGGGTTAGTGAAGATCATTTCCCATTTTGTAGGCTGCCTTTTTGTCTCGTTGACTGTGTCCTTTGCCTTACAGAAGCTTCTCCATTTCAAGAGGTCCCATTTATTAATTGTTGAACTCAGTATCTGTGCTACTGGTGTTATATTCAGGAAGCAGTCTCCTGTGCCAATGTGTTCAAGGGAACTTCCCACTTTCTCTTCTAAGAGGTTCAGTGTAGCTGGATTTATGTTGAGGTCTTTGATCCATTTGTACTTAAGTTTTGTGCATGGTGATAAATACGGATCTATCTGAAATCTTCTACTTGTCAGCATCCAGTTATTCCAGCACCATTTGTTGAAGATGTTTTCTTTTTTCCATTGTATAATTTTAGCTTCTTTGTCAAAAATTGGGTGTTCATAGGTGTGTGGGTTTATATCAGGGTCTTTTATTCAATTCAATTCTACCTGTCTATCTTTGTACCAATACCAAGCTGTTTCCATTACTATACTCTATAATAGAGCTTGAAGTCAGGGATAGTAATGCCTCTGGAAATTCCTTTATTGTACAGGATTGTTTTGGCTGTCCTGTGTCTTTTGTTTTCCATATAAAGTTGAGTATTGTTCTTTCAAGGTCTGTAAATAACTGGAATTTTGATGGGGATTGAATTGAATCTGTAGATTACTTTTGGCAAGATTGCCATTTTTACTATGTTGATCCTACCTTCCAAGAGCATGGAAGATCTTTCCATTTTCTGATATCTTCTTTAACTTTTTTCTTTCAAGGCTTAAAGTTCTTGCTATACAGGTCTTTCACTTGTTTGGTTAGCATTACCCCAATATATTTTATGTTGTTTGTGGCTATTGTAAAGGGTTATCTTTCTCTGATTTCTTTCCCAGCCAATTTATCATCAGTAGGGCTACTAATTTTTTTTAGTTAATCTTTTATCCTGCCTCTTTGCTGAAGGTGTTTATCAGCTGTTTGAGTTTCCCGGTAGAATTTTTTGGGTCACTTATATAAACTATCATATAATCTGCAAATAATGAAAGTTTGACTTATTCCTTTTCCAATTTGGATCCCCTTGATCTCCTTTTGTTGTCTTATTGCTCTAGCTAGAACTTCAAGTGCAATATTGAGTAGATGCAGAGAGAGTTGACAGCCTTGTCTGATTCCTGATTTAAAAGGAATTGCATTGAGTTTCTCTCCATTTAGTTTGATGTTAGCTTTTGGGTTGGCACAGAGAACAAGTGTCTTAGGGTCAGATAAACTGTTAGAAATGGCCAAGGACAGATGCGTGCAATGCAGAGGATGGATGAGAAGTGGGAGATTATGCTATGAGTGAGGAAATCCGGGAAAGGGCAGAGAGGGCCAGGATACAAACGTGAACTGTGCATACCTAGTGGGGTCTAATATAAATGAAGGATGACTCATGTAGAAGGGGTAGTGCTCACAGCCTGAGTTCCCTTCAGATGAGAAAGGACACGCTATATAAAAACAGAATGATTTGAGGTGGTGACTTTCTTACAAAGCACTTTGAAAAACCTCTTTGACCTTCGGGGAAGGAGTTTTAACTATCCTAAAATTTCATGAGTGCTACTAAGTATGATTCTGCCTATGAGAAGACATGCTCAGAGCACCCCAGCTCTTCTTTACAAGCAAACAAAGTGGAACCAGATGATGGCCTTCATTGGCATCATCAAAACCATTCAGGTATTTGAAGTAACTCAAGTCACTGTTTAGACTCACAAACAGGGCCCTAACTGCCCACATTCCATCTATCCTTTCAATAAACTTCCAATCACACTTCCTTCATGGTTTTGACAATATGAAAGGAAGTAACTATATTTCCCTACCATGCGAAATTGGAGTCCTCTCATTATATATCTTCAATATCAGTCAGCACATTCTGTAGATTTGGTGAATAGAGTTCCACCTCCCATTTCATAGATATAGTAAAGGGATCATGTTTCAGTGGGAGAAGGAAGGAAGGAAGGAAGGAAGGAAGGAAGGAAGGAAGGAAGGAAGGAAGGAAGGGAAGTCACAGAATCCTGCACATATCTCAGTGGATCCCAGATCAGCCCCACAGAGGTGTGATAGCGTATTATTTTAAGGTGTGTGACTTTTGTTTATGCTGAATGTATTTAACTATAAGAAGCTGTGATTCTTCACCTGTCTAAAACACCTGATGGTCCTAATAAAGAGCTGAATGGCCAATATGGAGGCAGGATCAAGGGCAGGTGGGGCTGGTAGACAGCGAGGATAAATAGAAGGAGAAAGGAGGAAGAGGAGGAGCAGCAAGAGAACAAGGAGAGGAGGACTTCAGGGGCCAGCCACCCAGCCACCCAGCCACCCAGCCACCCAGCCTGCCACAGAGTAAGACAGAAGGTAAGATATACAGAGGTAAGAAAGATAAAAGCCCAGAGAGGAAAGGCAATTGGATTAACTTAAGATAAGGAAAGCTGGTAAGAAATAAGCCAAGCTAAGACCGGACATTCATAACTAAAATAAGCCTCCATGAGTTATTTTGGAGCTGGGTGGGTGGTGGTCCCCTCAAAAAGGCCAAAATGTCAGAGTAAAACATCGCATTACACAGAGGCTCCATTCTTTCATCTCCGACCTGAAACACAGCCAAATATCTACAACTCTGCCAGCCTCTCCACTACACCATTGGAAAGTAAGCACAAACTAAAGCACTCTGGCCTCCGGGAAGAGACACACGTTCTCCAAAGCACTTGCTTTTTGTCTCTTGACAAAGAAGAGGGGGGCAAAGCTCAGCCTGGGGGTGAATTCAGAAAAATGTCACCATCTGCCCCACCTGTTGTGGGAACAGTTGATCCAGGGACTGTAGACTGCAGTCAGGTGTTGGCCTTTCAAGAACTGCTGTTTCCTCTTGCAATTCACTGAGGTAGCAAATGTCCCATGAAAATGAACTCAAGCTCGGGGTTCACAAAGTCATGAGGGACCAGAACCTTCCACCTCCAATGGAAAACGTAAGAAATAGATTGCTGACCTTGAATTCTTTGTTATGAATTTAGAAAGATGGCGTCTAAGGTTACTTTTACCTTTAGCCTAAATTGTGATGTAGTCCACCTTATCTGTGGGTGGGCCTTCTGTAGTTTCAATTGTTCCTGGATCACAGGTAGGATGGGTTTAACTTGGAAGATACTTACAGAAAGACACTGCATTGTCTACATAACCACTGTGGCCTTGTATTTTTATATTGGACTGTTTTGTTATTAGCTGTTGTTGTTGGTTACTTGCTTAATTTGCAAATTAAGCCTTATCAGAGGTACACATGCTTTATGTAGAGCACGTATGGTACACATGGGTTTGGTAATCACCACTTCAGGCAACAACTATAGGTTTTATAAGTAATCTCATGCAGATGAAGGTGGCTATCATGAGGAAGCTGTTTTAGTCAAATGCCTTTTACCCCCTTTACATATCTATAAAAGTTAGTAGAACACAGTAATTAAGGGACAATTTTCTGTGCATGTGTATGGATAGGTGCATGTATGTGTCTATGCTTATGAAACTTTGAACAGTTACCTCTGAGACTTCAGATGAAAAGTAGCCAACACACTCAGCATCACGTGAGCCATGCATTGTGATGAGGAGCATGTAGGGGGTGAGGAGACTGTATCCAAGTATAGTGCATGTCTTTGAAATGCTCTAAAGCTGTGATTCTCAATCTGGGGATCTCAAATCCTCTTTTATGAGCCCTTTGGGGGTTGAATGACCCTTTCACAGGGGTTGCCTGACTATCTGTTTATCATATATTTACATTACGATTCATAACAGTAGCAAAATTACAGTTACGAATTAGCAATGGGATAACTTTATGGTTGTGGGTCACCACAACATAAGGGACTGTATTAAAGGGTCACAGCATTAGGAAAGTTGAGAACCACTGATAAAGAAAAACAGTTTCACATGGCAGAGTTTTATTGTCAGTATTTGTACTTTCTCACGAGGATGAGGGTTAATAAAAGGTATAAGCAAGATAATCTACAAAGGCAGCATCCTAAGATTCTATGGTACCCCTACAAATAATGTGTTACCATACATAAAGGAATGTGTACTTTCTTCATCTTATAGATACCAAATAAATATGTGTAATGTCACCAGCGTTTTCTTTAGAATGTTTATAAAGCTAGACATATACACAATATTTAGAAGAACTAGGATGGGAAGCAGACTAAACATGATCGACACCTAACTGCTAGTTTGTTTTGTAAATCAGTTTATCATTAAATCAGTTTATCATTTTATTCCCTCTTGGGTACAAGTGAAAGGAAGGGAGGACACTGTCATGGGGGTCAGTTTGGAACCAGAGCTGTTGATGGTCTACCACCAGGGGGCAGCACAGAGCCAGGAATCAAAAGGTTAGCGTTCGTCCAGCTTCCTGAGTCTCCTGGGGCATTTGAACTCCCTAGGCTTGCTTTGCTCATCGTAACCATGTCAGGTTTTTTTTTTTTAAATTATAATAGTTTTTAAGACTTTGTTTTTGAACGACTTGGAGTCTTGCAGACTCTCCATTCCAAGGTACAGTGGCTTCCTCCAAGCACAGAGAGGGAGGTTAGTGCTCTGATTTTCTCTTTACATCAACTGGGGTGGGTTAGGGGTGTGTCAGGTGAGGCTGACTACTGGGCCAAGACAGATGAAGATAAATTCCAGTCTGCTAATTTATTAGAAGATGTTGCTGTCTCCAAGATCAGAACACTCAAAGCATTTGAGCAGACAGAAATGAAAACCAATCAGAAGGACGCCAGATGATGACTCTTTAATAGCATCCCACAGGCCCTGTCTGATTGATAAGAGCAAACATTTGAAGACTGGTATCTAAGGTATCTAAAGCCCCCTCTGCTGTGGTAAATACTATCTTGCAACATTAATTTTTTCAGTATGCCTAGGAACTGTCTAGTGGTTCTTTTTTTTGAGACAGGGTTTCTTTGTATTGTTTTGGAAGCTGTCCTGGAACTCGCTCTGTAGACCGTGCAGGCCTCTGCCTCCCGAGTGCTGGGATTAAAGGCATGCGCCACCAACGCCTGGCCTGTCTAGTGGTTCTTAAAGAGAACAAGAATAAATTACCTTTGGGTTGTTGTTGTTATTGTTATTATTATTATTATTATTATTATTATTTACAATTGCTCCTGGGCCTTGTTTAGTGGTACACAGCTGGCTCTGGAGCTAGATGCTTGAGTTCTGATCATGTCCCTGTTTGCCATATCAACTTGGCAAATTTGATTCCCCTCACCTTCACCCCCACTGCCTCTCTCTGAGATAGAGCATCACGATGTAGACCTGGCTGACCTGGAATTCACCATATAGACCAGGCTAACCTTGAACTCACAGAGATCTTCCTGACTCTGCCTCCCAAGTGCTGCCCCCATATCCAGCCTACCCTCTTTATCTCTTAAATTGGACCTGACAATTTGCTACATGGTAGGCACTGGAAGACCAGCTGTTTCTGGAATGTTCTTACCCATTTCCTTTGCAATGAGTCTAATATAAGTAATGATATTCATGTTCTATAAAGATATGATATGAAAACACAGTCAAGTACTTTAACAGACACAGGATACCATTCATCCCCAACATTATCATTACTATCACGTGGTGAATCACGGCGTTAAAATGAAACTTTAAAAATTAGTGCACGTGTATTCTGTAAGCACAAAGAAAAGAATTATCTGTTCCTGGTTAAAGTGTTAAACCAGGGCTGTGGCCCTCAAAAGTAGACAACCTGTTGATTAGTCCATAGCTGTGCTCTGGGGAGAATAAGAGCAAGAGAACAGAGCACTGTGGGGAGGATGGGGAAGAGACTGAAAGGAAAAGAGGAGGAGGGAGAAAGAGGAGGAAGAAAAGAGGAAGAGGAAAAAGTTGGAGCATGATAAGCAAGGAACGGAGAAGGAGGGTAGGGGAAAGGAAGGAGAGATGCCAGCTTTAAAAATGTCTTAGGGGCATGCTTGGCATCTTTTGCAAAATTCGCTGTGAAATTCTGCATGTGTTTGGGGTATGCTTTTTCATTGTTATTCTCACTCCATTACTTGAGTGACTAAGGAAAACATGGTTCTTAAGTATGGACAGAAGTTGTGAAATGGGGCTGAGTTGGCTCACTGGTAAAGGGATTAGCCTGACAATCTGAATTCAATCCCTAGGACTCTAATGGTGGGTAGAGAAAACTTACTCCCAAAAGTTTTCTGCAGAATCCCACACTCTGGTTCTGGTATGGCCCCCACCTAAATAAATAAGTAAATAAATTTTGTTTTTAAGTTGTGAAGTAATAACAGAGGGCAATTTTGAACCATGTCAATGTAACTCATTGGAAATTCTAGGTGGATTCAATTGGATTTGCATCTTTTGCAGTGGTTCTTGAACCACTAGATTCATGCAAAATATATTATCTCAAGCAGGTTTTTAACCTCATTTTTAAGATTTAATATAAACTGCAAGCTAAAATATAGTGAAATATATAAATCATTAGTACAAATAATCAATAAGAGAATTTATAAAAAGCCATAATAGCCTATATAACAAATGAATAATTTGTAAGGGCTTCATGATGTTTCAGGAAATTTATAATCACATGGTCATCAATGCTTTGGGTAGTTTCAGGATGTAAAATAGTAACCATGTACAAGATTGAATCCTTGACATTTGGAATATAGTGAGCAGAATGGGTACCAAATAAATGATGGTTTGACTTCATTGTCTTTAGCTGATGGGTGATGTCCAGTGCCTTGTAGAGCCAGTGTTTCCATTTTTAAGAATGCTCATCTCTGCTCCTGGTACCTTTTCATTCTGATTTACCTTTCTACCCATCACCAAGTATTCCAGGCACAGGTAACAGACACCACTGCCATTAAAAAACAAAATTAAATTTAAATGGATGAAAGGCCAGCTTAGAATCCCAGGCCACGTCTTATAGGTCAAACACACAAAAATCCATGCTAATTATTCATATTTCCTCATCGGATGTCTGTGTGGTGGTAGGAATTAGTGTAGGGCTAATAGAGTTAATAGCTTTTAGATCAATGACAATAGGCTAGCATTCTCATAAGTGATACCCACTAAGTATAAGTGTGTTGGTGCTTTAGCTAGCTATGTATCTGAACACCATTGTCTGACTCCAGAGTAGCTGAATTAGAATTAACTTTTATCCTTATATTTAGATAAAGCTTGTATTACTCAAGTAATTCTTGATTGGTTCACAAGTCAGAATCTAAAAATAATATCACACTGATAGTCATGCACCCTTCTTATCGCCATCTCTAAGCATCTCAGTGCTCCATGTAGCTAGGGCTAGGATCCAGTTTTGTTCGCCATTGTATCAAAGCTCTTCACGGTTTAGAAATAAAATAGCCCCAGAAGAACTCACGTGTTAAAGACATGGTCCCCAATGCAATACTCAGCAGCGGGCTGTTATAGAGTGACTGGATTGTGATGGCTTTGATCTAATCAAAGTCTACTGATAGGGTCATAACTCAGCAGAGCTTTGGAAGGACTGCAGCTATGGAGTTGGGATCTGAGCTACGGAGGCCTGGCTTCCTGAGGATGCTCCTGAAGGGTGTGTGCTTCCTCACCTGGTGCTCTGATTATCCCTAGTTCCTGAGCATCGTGGGATGGGCATCTTTATACCACCACATGCTCTCAGCATGCTGCTCTGCCTCACCAGAGTCTAAAGCAGATGGAATCAGCTGACCATGGACTGAACCCCAAACCTGCCCTGCCCGTACATTCTCAGGTATGTTTTCATGAATAAAAATATACTAACGTAGCAGCCATTCAGTGGGGAAAACGAATATTTTTCTTTGAAAAATAAAGGTAGAAGAAAACCAAGGAAAAAATTAACTTCTGAATGTATCAGGTCATAAAAGTTTTCTATGTGATCCCATTTTTTTTTTTCAGAAAACTTGCCTACCTCCAGTTAAGTCATCTACAGCACCAATGCCCGCCCTCACTTAAGGCCCGGGGAACATTCCAGAAGGATCAGAGGATCAGGATGCTGGCTGTGAGAGTGTTTCTAGACACAACATGGAAGCTACACATACAAAACACCACCAACACAGTTGCCCTAAACAAGACCTTCATAATGACCATTCCAGCTAACGTACCAACTGAAAGGTTCAGGCATCACGCTAGCCTGCTCTGTTACCTGGCAAGATGCACTCAGGCAGCACTCTGGCCAGCCCAGAGTTCTGTGAGAACCACTCAGGTGCAAAGGACCCCTTTAAAGGACTGAACCCTGCTTGCTTACGCTCTCTTTTACTCTCTTCCTCTCCATCTCATATTCTCTCTCTCTCTCTCTCTCTCTCTCTCTCTCTCTCTCTCTCTCTCTCTCTCTCTCTCTCTCTCTCTCTCAGGTCTGTACAGGTTGGCTACCTCTCACCCCCCTTTCCCTCCCTGTCTACCAATAAATTCCACGTGGGATCGTTGAGTCATGGTTTGTGTCTCGTTACTGGATAAACCTAAACATTTTAACAACACCAACATGGATGTGGGAAATTTCACAAGGCCATTCCTATATGGAGAACTTCAGGTAGCCAATGGCTCCAGAAGAGGGAGAGTCGAATCAATTTTTTCTAGCAGATGTCTCTTCATAGGCTACCCAACCCCAAGTAGTCAGTGTGAGGAGGCAAAGGTTCCTCAGTCTTAGATGGAACCATCTTTAATTTAACCTAAAACTGACACCCTCCTTTCCTTACCCCCACCATGAGAAAGTACCCAACTCTGTTCTAGAAACTCAATTAGACTCTTATTTTGGACTCTGGTTATGCTGAATGGTCTTTGGGTCTCTAACCCACAATAGTCAGCCTCAAAACCATGTACACATGAGTAGTACTAATTTGTGTCATTAGAGTGTAAGTGGGTGTCATGAATCCAGGAGGGAGTAGGGGAGGATAGGGAGGAGCAGAAATTATGTAAATACAGTATATGAAATATAGCATATATGAAAGTATCAAAAATATATAAAAGAAAACATATATGGTAACTGATAGTAACTTCTCAAGTTCTGTGTCCTTTTGTTCTTGTGAAATGGAGTGAATTACTTAAAGGATTCTTGCTTGTCAATCTTCTCAATCAATTCCATTCATAGTTTAGCCTTCCTTAAGGACATTACCGCATGACTGATGTATGAACACAGCAAGGATTCTTACGGAGACAGAAAAGGTAAGCACACATGCATCCAAGGGAACAGAACTGAAGAACACAAACTAAACTAGAAAGTCACTGTACATGCTTCACAGCAGACTGGAGCCGGCATAAGGAAGGTCGGGTGAACATAAAGACTGTGTCAGTCCAAGAAGCAAAAGGTGGGGGGGGGAACTAGTGGGGCTCCAAGATATTAGCAACCAACACATAAAAAAGACGTCCAGAAGAAAAGGAAAGCATACTCATAGAAATTATGGCTGAACGCTTCCCAAACATAGATGGGACCATTGAGAACAGGAATGTCCCCTGTAATGGTTTGAATGCGTTGAATCCTCAGCCCCCAGCTGGTGCTGCTGTTTTGACAAGTGGTAAAATACACTAGGACCTGAAGCCCAGCTTGGGGAAATCTATGCCTGGGGTGTACCTTTAAAGGTTATTCATGGTCCCTTCTTTCTCTGCTACCAGTCAACCACAAGCTACGCACCCTCTGCCACGTGCTTCTCACCATAGGCCCAGAATCAGTGAGACAAAGGCCAGTGGACTGAGACCATGAGGCAAGATGTGCCCTTCCGACCTCGTGCTATTTGTCAGGCATTTTGTCAGAGCAGTGACGGTCTGTGTGTCAAAGGCTTGGTGTCTGGCATAGTACTATCGTGAAGTAGACAAAACATGAGGTAATAGGAAGTGGGACTATTTAAGACATCAAGTGCATGCCCAGAAAGGGGATTTCTGGTCTCTTCTCTGTTTTACTTCCCTCTCATATCATGAATGGGATCTTCATCCAGACTCACCCTGATATGCAAAGGGCACATAGTGACACTGAACCCTTTATTTTGAGGGAAAAGCATCTTACCTGTTATCTCAAGCATTTGCCACAGTAATAGAAAGTTGAACAACTTTCTGGGGAAAGAATATACATCTAGAAGGAATATACATCTAGATTCATGAAATCCATGAGATTTGGACATGAATCACAAGTCATTATCATTATAAGCAAGTTATCAAAAATCAAACAGAATTTTTCACATACAGATGTTCCTTCACTAGGCTATTGGCATATTTCTTAGTAGAAAGCTTTCAGACCAGAATGGAATGGGTTATTATACTCAGAGTACTGCAAGCTGAAAAACAGTGTTATATTGCAATCTTTGTCTTAGATCCCCGGTGAAGAAGGTTTGCTTAGTTTAGGAAATGTGTTGGGTCTGATTGTCCTCTAGGTTTTGATTGGAGGCATCTGTGTCTTTCAAGGTTTTACTTTGCCAGGTTGATGTTGTAAAGTTGTAGTCAGTGCCCCTCATGCTTAGTCATGGTATGTGTAGCTTCCAGTCCTGAACCCAAGTCCGAGGGGCATGAAACTCGGTTCCATCCTCCACAACACTGACCAGACTTTAAATTCTCTGTCAGAACATAACTTGCTATAAAGCATCTTACACAGCAGCTAGAAATGAGGACATCACAATAAAATACCTACCAGTTGAAGAAGGGGCTTGGCCCTTGTGTTAGTCAGACTTCCCTGCAGAATGGATATATACGAAAAGGAGAAGGTTATTAGATTGGCTTACACACTACAGTCTGGTTAGTCTAGAAATATCTATCTTATGCTGGAGTGGCTGAGAATTACTCAACAGGCCAACCTGGGAAGAAAAACCTGGGGTATTCCTGAAGAGCAACGGCCTTCAGTTCACATTGCTGAGTCCTGATGGCAGCACAGGAATGTAGAAACGGTGACAGCAGCAGCAGAGTGAATAGCACACAAACAAGATAGTGAACTCTAGTGAGATAGGAGATACAAGAGCTTTTCCCCAGGTTCCTTTTATCTTGGCTGCCACTAGAAGGTGCCTTCATACTTAGGGTAGTATGTCTTCTTACTTCAAATAATCTAATCAAGAATATACCGCAGAGTTGTGCCTGCAGCTTATCTCTTCAGATGATTCCAGATAGAGTCAATTTGACAACCAAGATTAATCATAACAGCCCTGTCCTGATTTGGGCATCTTGAAGGAGGGGTAATAAATATGGGAAACCTCAATAGAGGATCAGAGAGGCTAGCCTTGGAGAATAGGACTTCCTGCTGGGAGGTCCATGATGGGCCTCTGTCTCTGCTCCCAAGCTCACTGCAGTCATCTGTCTACTGTGATAGCTACTCCTAGATGTTTACCCAACACAGTCAAGTCAACCTATCACACATGCATGTCAATCTTTATCATAACACCTCTCACAATAGTTAAGTTATGGAATCAACCAATGTGTCAGTCACATGTGGAGGAGTAAAGACAATGTGGTATATAATCACAGTAGGATTCTTTGTTTTTCTCTTTTTTCTTCTTCCCTTTTTTTTCGTAGAGAATAAAGCTATGTCATTCAGGAAAATGGATGATAATCGCATTAATCAAGATGATCACATTAGTTGAATTGAGTCAGTCTCAGAAAGATGGCTCAGGCCTCCAAAAGGTCCCTCGTTGCTCAATTACTGGAATAGCTCCACCATAGCCTGCTAAGACAGTCAGAATCAAAGTGACACTCTTCGATACACACTCTTTGCTGTCTTATCTCAAAGAGTCAAACACAGCACCAAGCTGGAAGGTTGCAGTGTCAGTGGAGAACATGGAGATGAGAAGAGCTTGCTCACTTAGCTTTCTTTCCCTGAAACTGCCTAGCGAACCATTAGACTGTCACTGTCACAGTCATTATTAGAATAGAAAGATATTTTGAGAATTACGATCATTGGGTTGAGGCTAGTAATGACTCCTTAATCAACAGTCTATGTGGCCATTTTCTTTCTTCACATTTGACAGACACTGTTTAATGTTTATAGAGATCATTGTTTTTCTCATGGGATGGGTGAGGAAGGAAATCTAGGTCTAGAAAGCTTTCTCTCTGCCCAGTCTGCTTTCCATCACTGTGATAAGCAGCATGACCTACAGCAACTTGGGACAGGGAAAACTTTATTTGGCTTGCACTTCCGTGTCACAGTCCATTGTTATGGAAGTCAGGCAGGAACCTGGAGGCAGGAACTGATGCAGAGGCCATGGAAAAATGCTACCTTGCTCACATTGCTTGCTGAACCTGCTTTCTCATACAGCCCAGAACTACCTGTCCAAGGATGACACGAACCACGATAGGCTGGACCCTCCTACGTGAGTCATCAATTAAGAAAATGCTACACAGACTTACCTTCAGGCCAGTCTGATAGAGGCATTTACTCAGTTGAAGTCCCTCTTCTAAGATGACCCTTGCTTGTGACAAGCTGACAAAAAACCAGTACAAACGCTGAATATTTTCCTCGTGCTTTCACACCAAATAAGTGATATAAGTGGTATTGGACTCATTTCCTAACTTACACTTGAGCATCTCAGATCTCAAGTCCTAGAGAGGAAATTGGTTGCATGCTGCGTGCCAAGAAAATCCTAGGTCCTGGGAGTTCTACGTCCCCATTTGCCCATTTGTTCCTTTACTCTTTGGGCAGTCTTGCATAGCTAGTTCTCCTGGGTCACTTACATTTGTACCTCACTCGAACTCTGTGGCCCTTTTAAAAGTCCTGCCCCTGCCTACCAGAAAGGAAGGAGAGAAGCTAGAAGAAGTAGTAGACTAGCCCATTGTTGTTCTCACAGTAGCTTTGAGTACAGCTGAGAGACTTTAGAACTAATGAATAAAATTAAGCCCCAGGATTAGCCTCTTCTCTAGGCCTTCACTCATCTGGATATAATACAATGAGTTGGCCAATAGCCAAATCCCACTTACAATTGTGAGTATCAGAAGGGATAGCCTCAGACATTATACTTCTATTGCTTTAGATTTTCCTTTATGGCTACATTTCTGCAAGTACCCTAATTGCTACAAAACTATAGTTTTTCAGCTTCTGTCTGTCTTTTTATATTTTTTATGAAGTTGAGCTAATATATTGCTTTCATGTCAGTTTTTTTAGGCATTGGTAAAATTTTTCCACAGTGTTTTATTTTTTAAGATTTGTTTTATAGTATGCATATGAGTGTTTTGCCTGCATGTATATATGTGCACAAACATGCCTTCAGAGGACATCACATTCCTTTGGAACTAGAG